TCTGAGTTGTAGTCTGGTTCCGGGGGTAGTCTGTTCGCAGCTTCAATCCAGGATTATCTAGCCACCTCGAAATGCGTCTTCTTGGCCCTACCTCATCTGATGCAGTGTGGGCGCGTGGCATCAGGGTGGTCGAGGAAAGGTTTGTAAAGTTGGGCAGGACGACGGAAGGAATCCCCACTGGTGCCCCCCAGTGGTTCCCACCGGACCCCAGCCCTGGTACAGGAATGAAGGAGGAGTAGGGGATCATCTGGCTTTCAGTTCCACACCTGCTCAGTCAATCCTCTGGTACTCAGAGCAATCAATGCTGGCAGGCACCTTCCAGTTACCATCCAATTTCCTTCCTTTCTAATGTATTTTTGTCTTATCCGTGTAAGGGATGCTGGACCCGCTTTCCAGCAGGTGACGCTCCCAACCAATAGATGTAGCTTTTGGTTAAAAAAAAAAAAAAAAAAAAAAAAAAAAAAAAAAAAAAAAAAAACACGCCGTTTTTACTTCTTTTTCTTTTTGAACATCCCGAAGGTCCAGCTAGGGGTAATGATAAGAGCATCCGCACCACTTCTTTTTCATGATTTCGTTCGTAGGATTCTTCTAACCACACTGCATTCCTAAAAAATGGCATTTTAGGAGTGTCTAACGAGACCCATATACTCTATTCTGTACATGCAGTCTGTAGGCGCGGCAACCTACATACACATAGAATAGACCACAGGCCCTCCAGTCTGCAGACAAGGGATATCTGGAATTCTGTATGCTGTCTGTAAGTGGTCCCTATACTTTTTTTGTGGTAGTGTGTAAGTCTATAGGCAATCCACGCTGCAGGGGCATGTGATTTGGGATTGTATGTGCAATCTATAGGTGACCTCCGTATGGAGTTTGTACGTTATGCACCTAATCTATAATGTAGCCCACAGGCGTACCGCGCTGTTGACTCATACACCATAATCTCTGGTCCACAGACTTTTAATCCACAGATTTTGTCCAGGGATTACATCCTTTTTTTTTTCCTTTTTTTTTTTGGGAAAGGGGATTACATCCATGTGATATATGTGGTATATTGTTTTTTTTTTTTGTTTGTTTTTTTTTTATTTATTTTAAGTCCAGGGTGTTGTAGAGGCCAGTTATTAGACACACATTTGATTGCTGGGTGTGGTCAGCTGTGGACGCTCTGAGACAGCGGGGCCACCACCCCTTCCATCCTTACGTCAATACTCCTAGCGCATCCCCTATCCCTACTATCCTACCTAAGTGTGACCAGCACTCAGGACCATTACCCTACCAATGGGCAGGTAACTTGGACCGAACAATAGTGACTGGCACCAGGGCTAGCAACCCAGCCCTGGTTGAAGCATAGTCGAACGGACCTTGTCGCACGGGTACTTCGGACGCCAGGCTCAAGCAACTCACATATTGGCCCCTAAATTGACCAACTTAGTAACTCACGCCCTCTACTCTTTCCCACCACACTATATGTTTAAGGCGGGGTACTTATCATCGAGACGCCTACTTACGCCCTCTACTCTCTCCCACCACACAGTATATTTAAGGCGGGGTACTTATCATCGAGACGCCTTATCATCATTATCAGTTGATCACGAGCTCCCCCCCAGCCCTTGTGTATATATGTGTGTGTATGTGTGTGTGTGTGTATGGTTGTGCTTGTGTCTGTATGTACTGTGTATAGATGTGTGCCCATGGGCCATATGTATGGCTGTATGCTGCTCCCCACCATGGAGCATCTGCGAAGTAAATACTGAGTACTGGTGAGAGGTGCTCTTACCACCTCCACTAGTAGGTGTATGTGTGATTGTGGACCTTGAGTATTGTATATATGTCTGTATGGACTCGAACCTGTGACCTTCAGTATGAAACTGGAGGGTTCTACCACTTATACTACCGTGGGAAGTGGAAATAATGTGTGTAATGTCTGGACTGGTGGAGATTATCAGAGCGACCAAAGCCAACAACAACCAGCAACCAAGACTAGGCCAGCATACAACATCCATGAACTGACCCCCTGGGTGGTGCGCAGGCAGTGTCTGTAATAGTACCATGCGTCAGCCCAGGGGAGTGTGTGTCCAGCCGTGCGTCATTCTAACGCCCTGCAGGTGTCCATGCGCGAGGCTGCGGAGTTTTGAACCCACAACCTCATACCACAATGCGCATTTCCAACCGGTCCTCTAACCACTGAGCTACATCAACTGGACATATATATAATATATATATTGAATATGATAGACCTTTCTCATCCGCAGGTTCTCTCATCTACCCGGTTTGGGGCCCCTACCCTCCAAGCAGAACTGCCTCTAACTCTGGTGATGCTACCCTGCCTACCTTGTGACCCAAGGTACAGCACACCCGTAGTTTGCACTCACTCCCTACATTGTCAAGGACATTCACCGCCCACCAAGATGATGCCCTTACAGAGTGCTCCCCCCCTAGAGTTGACCAAGCCCTCTCAACTCCTTTAACCCCACCCTACCGCCCTCAAACCCAACACATGATGATCACCCTATCTGCTCCTCCTCCCCATTGCAGCGCATCAATTCCTTTCTTTTTTTCTTTTTTTTGTAATTAAAAAAAAGCAGGTTGTTGTAGAGGCTGGATTATAGACATATGAGAGATTCACCTTCAGCACTTGACCATGTGGTAGAGGCCCCCTAATCCTATGGGACTCCCTCCCAACCTACCACTTTCGTAATTTCTCCTGGCACACTCCTACTCCCACTATCCCACCACCATGGAGATGACCCAAGAACTGTGCTTCCCCATGGTCCCCCGAGCCTGCCCCATGACAGTACACTAAGTGGGACCTGCCCCGTGACAGTACCCTGCCAGCCCGCGGTGCACCCTTAAACCACCAGTACTTCCTTTTTTTGCTTTCTTTTTAATTAAAAAAGGCCCAGGGTGTTGTAGAGGCCAAGGACCAGACGCGCAGTAATTGCTGGTAGCGGCGGCCAATGGTTGTCCTGACAGGATAGGCCACCTACCCTACCCATCCCCACGTTAATACTCCCAGCGTTAAACCACCAGTACTTCCTAATGTCGTGCCCGTTAACAAGCCACGAGCGCCCAAATTCATCCGACTAGAAATGTTTCTACTCTATTTCTTTCCCTCAGCCAACAGTTGGGCCAAGTACTGGTGTTTTAACTTGACATTTTGTGAAGGATATACATTTTCAAGGAATAACTACGCGGGAGTCACAAAAACAGTTTGAAATTGCATTCCAAACACGGTTTTGCAGTTTAGTCAGGTGAAAAGTTTAAAATACAGTCCAAACTCCGCTTTGCAGAAAAGTCGCATCGCGGAGTTTGAGACTGCAGTCTTGTTAGCCACACGGGAGGGCCCGGTAGTCGCCCTGGCACAGGCCTGGAAAACAGGAGAGCACAGGCCATTCCTGAACGAATCGGCCCCCGACCGTGCGCCGAATGAAGTGCAAAGTCGGGGGAAGATTCATTCACGAACGGTACACACACACACACACACACACACAGAGAGAGAGAGAGAGAGAGAGAGAGAGAGAGAGAGAGAGAGAGAGAGAGAGAGAGAGAGAGAGAG